AGAAAGAGAGGTACTGTAAACTTCTGCACAAAGGATAGTTTCACAAAGGTAAGTCTGAGGTATGAACAGAGAGAGAGGTACTGTAAACTTCTGCACAAAAGACAGTTTCACAAAGGTAAGTCTGAGGTATGAATAGAAAGAGAGGTACTGTAAACTTCTGCACAAAGGACAGTTTCACAAAGGTAAGTCTGAGGTATGAACAGAGAGGAGGGGTACTGTAAACTTCTGCACAAGGGTAAGTCTGAGGTATGAACAGAGAGAGAGAGGTATTGTAAACTTCTGCACGCAGAAGTTTACAGTACCTCTTTCTCTATTCATACCTCAGACTTATCTTTGTGAAACTATCTTTTGTGCAGAAGTTTACAGTACCCCTCTCTCTGTTCATACCTCAGACTTACCTTTGTGAAACTGTCTTTTGTGCAGAAGTTTACAGTACCTCTCTTTCTATTCATACCTCAGACTTACCTTTGTGAAACTGTCTTTTGTGTTGATTTTGGGGTTGTAACCATCATAATAGCCCTATGAAAATAAAATAAAAGAACTGCTAGATAAATTATACGATTACACGCAGCACCATAGAACTTAAATAGTTAAAAGTTTAAAGTACTGACATGGCTTTGAAGATAGATATGGGTGATACGTTCTTTATGCACTCATGTTTAAGGCATTTAACTTTAATGCAATATAAAACATAAGCATAGACAACTGTTATAAGAAGGTGGCCAGATAAGCTTTTCTATCCTTTTAACTTTGAAGTCCATAAAACCACAAACGTTTAACTATTGTTTTTAAGGGCTTGCCAACAAATATATATTTTAATGTATTATAAAAAAACAGTGGAATTATTCTGAAATTGTTACACGAACTTCGATGAAGGTTATAAAAACTGATATTTGGTTGTCCCAAGCTGTATTTTGCAACCACGTTTTTTTCTCTAGAATATTGAACAGCTCCATCAGGTGCACTCATGATCATAAACATTAGGTTATAGGAGATTTCAGCGCTTATTTCATGTCTTGTTAAACTCTTAGCCAAAATGTTACAAAATTTGTATAATTTTAAAGTGTTATTTTCGTGTACATATTGTTTGACACTCAGTCAGAGAATAAAATATTTTCTGTGATTTGTGCTTTATTTAAAGTTTAACAACAGATTGTAATAAGATATATATATATATATATAGCTACATACGTGAGAAAGGAGTTCTAGACCGTATTTTTTTATAGTTTCGACTCCAAGAATTGTGGGAAGAAACTCCTTGTAAGTGATGTGTTGTAGCTCGCCAATAATGATGTGACGGGTCTCCTGGTAAATCCTTTCGTCGTCCCAGTGGGGATTCATCTGTCCTAGAGCGTCTGCAATTCTGTTGTGTTCCCTCATCCATATAGTGTGCATCACAGATAATACCAGTTGCTCATTTACTCTTTCATCACCTAGGGAAGAAAATGTATAACGTCCGTAAAATACGAAGATATCTTTACTCTCCCCGTGTTTTCGTACCTTCTACAACCAGATACAAATACGGGTAAGGATATAACTCAATCAAGTACGTTTTATTCGCTAGATTTACAACAACAATAATAACAACTTGCCAGCATCAAAGCAATAAGCGTTCCTTGGTCTAGCAGTGCACCCAACGTCGGGATCTATTATTTTCATGGGCAGAAGATCTTTTAAGCCAAGTTCACGGTAGAGGGGAGCGGTTTTCAGGAAACCTGTAAATGGAAATTCTTGTCGTTAACTCAGATGATCATCAAAGTATCTTTAAGGATTAAAAATAAAGTATTAAAAAAAGTCAGATTTAGATTAATTTAGACATTTGTATTGCATTATATTGTTTCTCGGCAAATTAGTCGAGTGTTCATGCAGAACGTAAAAGTAGTTAAGACTAAATAACATTGAAAATACCAGTCTTATAAATAAAGTCCAAATTTTCAGGAAAAGTAATAGGGAGTGTTGAAAAAGGTGAGAAATTCTAAGATTGGCGATATTTGTGAAAAATATTGTGTTCGTCTGCTTTTTTCTTCAAATCTTTTGTTTTTCTGTAAGAATTTCTGTTTTGATCACATTTGCCGTTTAAAATTATTATTTATTTTATATCAAAATCTATTTTTATGTCATTTGATTAACGAATAAATTTTTAATGTATTGTTTGAAAGTAAACTACGAACAACAAACTGACATACACGCATATATATATATAGAGAGAGAGTCAACGTAGGTTCTGTAAAATCACTTTTTTACTTTTTAAATGTTATTTCAATCAGATAAATAATATTTTTCTGTTAGAAATTTTTAAAGGCATTCCATGTGGCGTAGTTACTTGAACTTTTACCAGTTGGATATTTTTTTTCATCCGAGATTTGAAGCTATTAGTAAATCTTCAAGTACTCTTCCGTTAAGAACGAATTTCTGGTTGCTGCGATAGAAAACGAATTGACGATGACGAAGCTGAATATAGCATAAAAACTTATCAAAAGTGTTATGCTCTAAGTATGAGTAATTCCAAAATCACTAACCTTGTTTTACTTATGGTTCTTTAAAATAATATAACCTTGGCATATTTGCATTGTATACTATACCCTCCGTAATAAGAACGCTTATTCAAAATGTTACAGTTCAACGTATTCGATTATTTTGGAAGGTCCTTTTTGCAGAAATTTACAGTACCGCTCTCTCTGTTCATACCTCAGACTTACCTTTGTTAATATACATTAATACGTACCAAGTTTTTCGTGGAACTTGTTGTATCTTTCAGTAACATCAGGCAGCAAACTGTGGCCAAATCGAAAAGCTGCTGTCTGGAAAGCTGATCGTATTCCATAATATACATTAATACGTACCAAGTTTTTCGTGGAACTTGTTGTATCTTTCAGTAACATCAGGCAGCAAACTGTGGCCAAATCGAAAAGCTGCTGTCTGGAAAGCTGATCGTATTCCAGTTACTTTCCGTATTTTATTTCCTTAGATGTCGTTGGTGAGTACAAGCGTACGAAAAGTGCTCTCTTTTTTTCTGCTTTCCTCCTCTTTCATACACGCACACAATATAGTTCTTAGGAAAGCCAGAGTTTAAAATTAATTACGATAATTTCATGAGTTTCATTTGATATTCTGGTCCGGCATGGCCAGGTGGTTAAGGCACTTGACTCGCAATCTGAGGGTCGCGGGTTCGAATCCCTCTCACACCAAACATGCTCGCCCATTTAACCGTGGGGCGTTATAATGTAAC